CTGCCCTTTATTTTTATCTGAGTAATAGATACAGAAAGTTACATATCATACAGTGCAGAAAATTTTATGGAAAAGCAGCGTCACACTGTTTCAGTCACCAGAGAAAAACTTCAGTGGCTTCTGTTTCCTGGTGGCTTCTTCCAGACTCTCTTTATCTGTGCTGTCCATGTGAGAGCCAATGGGCATGCATTATGCCTTAAATTAAAAGTGAATAAAATTGAGAGGCTGAGGCAGGCGGATGAAGCTTCACACCAGCCCAGGCAATTTAGTGAGGACCTGTCTCAAAATATAGTTAAAAGGAGAGGTGTGACTCAATGGTAAAATCACTTGCAGGGTCCTGAGTTCAATACCCAGTACCACAAAAAAAAAAAAAAAAAAAAGAGAGAGAGAGAGACTCTTGGTTTATTCTATAGCATGGCTTAAAAAAAAAAAAAATTAAAAGTCAAAATTTAATTGCTCAGTCTCATTTGCTATATTTTTTCTTTTTCCATTTGCTATATTTCAAATGCTTAATAGAAGTTGCCATGTCAGACAATGGAGATATGGAACATTTCCATCGTCACAGAAAGTGCTATTAGGTAGTACTAGATAAAAACATTACTTTTACATTTGTGGCTTAGTTTATTAAATTTATTTATTTATTTATTTATTTATTGTAGTACCGGGGATTGAACTCAGGACCCTGCACTTGCCAGGCAAGTGCTTATTCTACTGAGCTATCTCCCTGGCCCCAAAACACGTTTTTTTGTTTTGTTTTATTTTTGTGTGTGTGTGGTACTGGGGATTGAACTCGGGACCTTGTGCTTACCAGGCAGGCACTTATGCCACTGAGCTGTCTCCCCAGCCTGGTTTATTAACATTAGATAGTTTCAGTTGCCATAATTCTGTTTCTGTTCTGATATATTTTTGGAAGCCTTTTTTTTTTTTGGTCCCAGAAATCAAACTCAGAGCCTTGTACTTGCCAGGTGGGAGCTGTTCTTCTGAACAGCATCCCTGGTCCTTGGAAATCTTTTTTTTAAAGATTTTTATGTTGCCTGGCAAGCACAGGGTCCTCAGTTCAATCCCCAGTACCATAAATGAATAAATAAATAAATAAATATTTTTATAAACTGGGTATAGAGGGGCTGGGGAGATAGCTCAGTAGAATAAGCACTTGCCTGACAAGCGCAAGGGCTTGAGTTCAATCCCCAGTTCCACAAAAAATAAACTGGGTATAATGCCATATATCTATAATCCCAGCACTTAGGGAGGCTGAGACAGGTGGATTGTTCCTGCCTGAGCACTTTAGCAATGCTGTCTCAAAAAATAAAAAGGGGTAGGAATGTAGCTCAGTAGTATAGTACTTTGCAGTTCAAACCCAGTACTACTCTCTCTCTCTCTCTCTCTCTCTCTCTCTCTCTCTCTCTCTCTCTCTCTTTCTCTCTCTCTCTCTCACACACACACACATACACACTCACCAAAATATAGCAAAAAACCATATCTGCTATAAGTGGCTTTATTTATTTATTTTTTTAGGGCTTGCCATATAGCCCAGCAGATTAAAGCACCTGCAAGCAGGTGTAGGAGCCATGCCAGCCTTGCACCACCCCCCAGCCCCCCCAACCTCCACTCCCACCCCCCCACACTGAGACAGCAGTTGAGACTGGGTGTGGTATAGCACCCATGCCTGTAATCCCAGCTCTTTGGAGGCTGTAAACAGACAGATCGCTATGAGTCCCGTCTAGTAGTGAGACCCTGAACACCCTGTAGACCCTTCCCTAAAAAATACAAAAAATAAAAATAAATAAAATATTTATTTATTTA